CTTGCTCCTGTCTGATGTTTTCGTTAGTGTAAATATTTCAGATCATTTCAAGATAGTAAAAACATTTGCAAAAGACACATCATTATGAGTGCGTTACAGATGCTAGAATGTACTAAGCATCATGTAGATCTAATGGCTTTTCATTTCTTTTTTATGTTTTTTTTTTTTTCAGAAATGATTACAGATCAGCATGTTGAGGCTGGTGTCCTGTGAACTTGGCAGTGGTGGTGTGTCCAACCCGTGTACATTTGCTATTCTGAATCAGTGATAAACAGAATTAAAGCGTACTGTAATTTCTTTAACATTAGCATTTGCATACAACATTCACAGTCTCAGTTCAGTGTCATCAGCACTCTTTCAAAATGGAAATGACAATGAAACAGATTATTAAAGATTACTTTATTAAATAATGTCTGTACGTCGTTCTACCTAGATAAAAAATACTCCTTTACAATGTAAGAACTTTAGTCTACCAGTAGTTAGCTTAACTTTGCTCATTGCTATTTTTAATTTTTTTGTGTGTGCATGTGCATGTTTGGTTACTTTGTGTCAAACAGGAAGGGATCATAAAATATTTGTAAGCTTTTAGAACCATGATAAGCAAAAAGGATATGTCAGCTGTGTTAGAGGGATGTGGGAGGGATTGCAAATTATGCTCAACTTGGTTGTATACGAAATATATTGTAAATAATTTGGTATCTTAGGTAGTTTTAAGGAAAATGCTGTGGTAAGTTATGAATTTTAAAGTGTTTACGTTCTAATTTTTAAATGATTGTTAATAAGATTGTATTTAATCTGTGTTCCCAATTAGTGCCATTGGCGCTAGAACGACCAGACACTTTAATAAAGGACATGTATATATGAACTCTGTTGTTATTGTTGTTGTTGTTGTTGTTGTTNGAATAAATTTCTTGTTCCTGTCTGATGTTTTCGTTAGTGTAAATATTTCAGATCATTTCAAGATAGTAAAAACATTTGCATAAGACACATCATTATGAGTGCGTTACAGATGCTAGAATGCACTAAGCATCATGTAGATCTAATAGCTTTTCATTTCTTTTTTATGTTTTTTTTTTTCCAGAAATGATTACAGATCAGCATGTTGAGGCTGGTGTCCTGTGAACTTGACAGTGGTGGTGTGTCCAACACGTGTACATGTGCTCTTCTGAATCAGTGATAAACAGAATTGAACTGTACTGTAATTCCTTTAACATTAGCATTTGCATACAACATTTGCAGTCTCAGTTCAGTGGCATCAGCACTCTTTCATAATGAAAATGACAATGAAACAGATTATTAAAGATTACTTACTTGGTTGTATACGAAATATACAGTAATTAATTTAGTATCTTAGGTAGTTTTGAGGAAAATGCTGTGGTAAGTTATAAATTTTAAAGTGTTTACGTTTTAATTTTTAAATGATCGTTAATAAGATTGTATTTAATCTGTGTTCCCAATTAGTGCCGTTGGCACTAGAACGACCAGACACTTTAATAAAGGATATGTATGTATAAACTCTGTTGTTATTATTGTTGTTGTTGTTTATTTTTTTTTCTGAGTTCAGTGGCTCATAGACCATTTATTTTTAGTAATATTAGACATAGAAGTAAAGTAACCCTCCCCCCGTCTCTCTCTCCCTCT